TCACTGCCAGCAGCTCTCGCCGCTGTCAGCCTCGACGCGGCGAAGTGGTCGAACGTCAATGAACCAATTATGAATTATGTTGAGTATCGATGATTGCGCCTGCCGCACTAGCCACTAGACCCAAAAGGTTGTGTTTGCAACAACGTAAAGGCGGCAGTGAGTGGTAAGAAAGGTGAGAAGGCTGAAGGTGCAGCGCTGAAATGCGCCAGCGGGCGTCTGAACATGCAGTTGTGCAGGGACGCAGGGTATGATCGTTTGTGATTGCACCTAGTTGTACATTAGTAAAGGGAACACTGTCCAGGACTGCATAGGACCGTCGCGTGGTGCATGTTGAAATAATGAGGATGCTGTTGTTGGTATGCATGCTACTGTGCGCCTGATTTCCAGTAGTCTGCCTGCCTAACAGCCTTTGCGGTCTTTCGTGGCGGATATCCGCTCTGACTTCAAAGATGCAATGCTGATAGGCAATCTAAATTAGTAAGTGTTGTCGCATGAAGGTCAGGCGATGCACTCACCTCTCGAGAACGTCTATGACGACACCGACATTCGTCATGAGTCCGTGTCCGGCGTCCTTGACCAAGTTAAGTTGAACATACTTGGGCATCTCCTTCACCATCCACTCTGCTCCAGCCAAACTGATCTTCTCATCGCGATCGCCATGCCATATCTTGATGGGGTGTTTGACATCAGTGTAGGAAAAGCCCCACGGCTTGGACGTGCGACCGAGGATGCACATAAGGTCTGCTGTGCCCCCCTTGGTCGACTCGGCGAGCGAAGCTTGCAGCAATGCGGTCGAAACATCACCAGCGAGAGCGGCGCTGTTGACTGAAGCTGCTGTCGTTCGAGCGCTCTCACGACTCTGGTGTGATGGCGTGCCAAGCGATGGTGTCTCTTGAGCACTGGAGAGGACGACTGGGGATACCGGCGGCATGTCGTCATTACTGCTGTTCTCCCCCAAGCTGGTCGCACCGCTCGACGCCTTCCGAGGCGCCCCGAGCATAGCAGCTCCAGGGCCGGGAATGCGCGTAACAGATGAACTGCTGGCTAGCGACAGTGAAACAGAGCGCCGACTTTCCTTCGGCGCTACCTCCGCTATGTTGCAACCCAGTGCTTCGTCGAAATAGCCTGCCTCCCCACCTTGGTCATAAGTAGGACTCGAGATCGAGCACTCGGTGCGAGGGTAAGCTCGGAGCGACCTCGAAGAACTCTTGTGAGACAGGCCACCGGGACTGTTTGATACGGCGCGCTGACCCAGCAAGCCGGCAAACATGGAAGACTTGCCTTTGCCTTTGAGCGGGCTTTTGCCGTACTCTGACTCCATCACCGGACGCTCAAGAAACTCGCGCGAGCTACTGGCGTTTCCCGCGCCAGCAGCAAATACGCCAGAAGAGGGCGTCACGTGGCCTTCAGCCGTATCGAAGCTGAGGCTGCCCGGGTGCCGCGCGCCAGAGGTGATTAATTCGTTCTCTTGGTGGTGAAGATCCGGAGTCAGCATGCCAGAACCGGCGAGGATCTCGGCTTCCGTCATTGACGGAAGCTTTCCCAGCCTCCACGCCTGCATCTTCCACTCTGCCGCTTGTGCAGTCTTGATAATACGGTCTGGAACGTACTTGAGCCAGTTATAGCTCGTCTCAACGCTCGAACTGACCCATGGAGCTAATAGATGGATGGGACCACGTATGCGGTTGGCATGCATGAGTGCTGTGGCCATCGCAAATGGCGCGCCTGCGCTATGTGCGAGGACTGAAAAGCTTCCGATGCCAAGGCGATCCGCGACTTCGGCAACCACGCTCGCCCAGTCGAGCACGCCGCGCTTGCTCGGGGGTGCCTCGTCCGTCTTGCCCAATCCCCACCTATCGACGCAGATAAGTCGCAGACCCATCGCTTGCGCCATTTCGTCGTACAGGCCAACAAGGTAGCGCACGGCACCTAGGCCAAGGTACACAAAGACTGGAAGCCCTTCGCGATCGCCGACATCCGCCAAAGAAACCGTCAGCCCTTCATGAGGCCATTTGGACAACTTCATCAAAGTGGTAAGGCGCTCCGACCGCAGATACTTGAGAACCATCAGGCTCTCCAATGCGCGTTTCTGCTCGGCGTCGTGCTTTGCCTGCATCCGCTTCGAGATGGCCAAAGCGCTGCTTTGCACACTCCGCCCAGAGGAGCTGCTGGCAGCAGATGCTGTGCGGCGGCGAATCTCGCTCTTGTTGGAGCCTGTTACGAGCTGTGTGGCGCGAGGCGAGACTTCTTGATGGACAAGCATGTCATGAGCTGCTTCGCCCAATGCAGATACCGCCAGGCGCGGAAGCTGTTGAGGCCAGGTTTGCGGTTGCCGTGGTGAAACGGGACTGGAAGGTCCTGAGCGTTGCTGTAGTTGCTGTACCACAAGAAAGGCCTGCTGATCGTGATGCTGCTGCTGCATCATCTCCCACTTTTGCTGTAAAGCCCGATACCTGTCCGCCTTGACCTTCTTCTTGGCAATCCTGTTTGCTTCCCTTATCTCCCTCTGCACCGAGTCGTCAGTGTCATACGCGCTGCTGCTCTCACTCTCTGAGTCGGACGCCAAATAGGAGCATATATCGCCTTGAGATACGCTCGCAGACATCAGGTCGGATTGCGCAGGAGGCAAGACTTGACATGCCGTCTTAGGTGGCCTGTAGTAGCTAGGTAGTTCAAACGTTGGACTTGGCGTCTTGATATGAGCACGGATGATGTCGTCAATGCTAAGGATCGGCTCGGTCATGAGTAGGTTCAAGTCTACTTTGGATTTCCCGAAAGGGGAGCTGGAGGCCGGATTCGACGCCGAGCCTGGGCTTGACAATTTGTCCAGCGGAGAGCTCGGCATGTCGGAGCCGTGCGACGTCAGCGTTAGGTCATCCAGAGATGGTGTCAAGACTTGGAACGATGGGAAAGCCGATGTGCTCGAATAAGTGGGCGCGTGAGCCGCACCAGCGACATCCGCCTCTCCAGTCGTTGCGGCGAATGAAGCAACCGCCATGCGACTCTTGCCCAGAACAGAAGAGGGAGACGCCTTCATTGCGGGGAACATGTCGTCGTGTGGGGTGACGGGGTCGCGCATGCTTGCCCGGAGCGAGAGGCTTGCGAACGTCGAACTGCTCCTCAAGGTCGGCGTCACTGAGTCGATGTCCTCCTTGTCTACCGCCACAGGCCATTTAGCATTGCTTGCGGGAAGCGGGATGGCGGGTGCTGAAGGCTTTGCTGTGCCTTTCATTCGCACTGACGTGGGTTGTTTCTGCGTGTGTCGCTTGATGATGTCGTCGATCGATGGAATCGGTTCGGTCGTCTTTATGCTCGCATATAATGCAGAGGCCGACGGCCGCCGAATTGCAGCACCAGGCGAGGCTGCCGGAGGTGACAACGCTTCTGGTGGCGGCTGTTTGACATGCGCTGAGTTGAAGCTGGCTGAGCGGCCATTGGTTCTTGACGAGGGAGAGGCTCTCCGACAGGCCTCCTCCAGACGCGGCGAGGCTTGCAGGTGAAGATCTCTCGCCAGCCTTTCCAGCCCAGTCGATTTTTGCTGTACTGATGGCCCCGCTCTTGGAAGCTGCTTTAGCGGTTCCAATTCAAGCACTCCTTCATCAAGCCGAGGGCTTCGTGGCAACCCTTTGTAGCTGCCGTGGTTTGATTCTCCAACGCTGATGCCCGCGTCTGCAGGCCACCCTTCGCCCCATGGTGGCCACTGTGAGTGCCCGGTGCAGGAATCCGTTTCAGCTGTACCCATACGAGAGCGCAGGCTGCTCGCCGAGCCACTGTGGAACAACCTTTGTTGATGAGCATACGCCGAAGGTTCTGCCGACGAGGCCAGGTGACCATGGCCGATCGAGCTATCGTGGATATGACAATTTGTACCATGCGTGCTGGAGTTCGCCACGCTCGTGTGGCGCGAGTGACTGCCCCATGGCGCTGAGCTCGGCGTGCCTGGCGTACATGGCGTATCTGGCAACTCTGGCGAGGAGGGCCAGACAAGTCCCAATCCAGCAGCCGTCTGCAAAGCTCGCCTCCCACTCTGGATGCTTACGCTTTCCGAGATGCCTCCCTCATTCGAGTCGCCGTAGGGACTGCTCCTGCCGCTTAGTAAAGACTCAGGGCTGGCAAGCAAGTCCCTGCCCATTCTGTGCCCTAGTGATGACGATGTCATATTTCCGAACATGCCTGCATGCGCCGTTGACGGCGCGCTGGGACTATTCCTCCACCTTTCCGTCCCCACAGAGTGCAACCCTTCTGAAGCGGTTTCCAACTCTGCCAGCGACCTCAATGCGGCATGTGACCGCCTCTTTGTCATGCCTAGCCTTCTGGTTCCGTAGCCACCGCTACCGGCTCCAAACCAGCCATTTTGGTCCGCTGCATCGTCGAACACATTTGGACTAGGGAAGCCCGATGGTGTTCGCATAGCAGCACGGAAGGCAGTCGCCTTGGCCTCGACGCATTCCATTAGCCCTGAGTTCTTCTTGCGCAGGCGACCCAACACGTCCTTGAGGTCCGAGCTGTCACATCCTATGCATTCCTGGGGCTCAGACTCAGCCTCGGACGTTGAGGACGCCGGCTCCTTGACAATGCGTGGCCTGCGTGTCGATGAGGTGGACGACGACAATGGGCGGCCATCATGCCCGTAAAATGAAGACGGAATCGGTCTATTACTTGGACTTGGGCTTGGGCTTGGGCTTGGGTTTGGGCTGCCGCTGCTGTTGACGGCACCGCTGCTGTTACTGCAGCTCGGAAAGCTCCGCAGCCTGGTAGAGGGGCTACCCTCAGTCCTGGCAGACGATGAAGACGAGCCTTTCAGCCGCTTGCGCTCTGGGTACGCGTCAAAGTAGGACAGCGGCGCGGCGCTCGGTTGAGAGGCAGACGGGGTCGAGCGGGGGGACGACGTACTGGATCTATTGATTTGCGCCGGGCTGAGGAGCCGAGAGCTGGTCGAATGGTTGTGACTGCTGGTGGCAGGCGGCAAAGGTGTAACTTCTGATGGCCGCCCAGGACTTACTGGTGCCACGAATGAAGGTGTGGGTGAGGATGGCAGCGTGTGGGCTAGAGGGAGCCGGTTTGCTGGAGACCGGTTTGCTGGAGAGAGATTTGCTGGAGAGAGGTTGTACGAAAGGCCGTTAAGATCGCTGTGTTGATCATAGGATATTTCCTCCGACATTCCTTTTTCTCGCATCCTTTCCCTTCCATCGCTTTCGCTGCTATTTCGACGCATATGATCTCGATCTCTGCTGTCATCCTTGCCCGGCGACTGTTGTGGGCAGGGCGGCTGTGCTGTCGATGAGTCATGTCCTGCGCGCTGCCTCGCAAGAAGCGGTAGGGAAGGCCGCTGCCGCATAGACACAGAAAGGCCATGGCGCTCGCCGGTGGAGCTTCCTGAAGCGGTCGCGGAGGTCATTGCGGCGAGCTAACAGAGCGACAACTCTACCGATATGAGGCCCGAAAATAAAATAAAAAGCTAACGCGGCGCTCAAATGTCAACGAAGGCAACCAACGGCATCGTGGAGATGCGCAGCACGACACATGGAGCTGATGATGCAGATACACATCCCAATCCGTAAGGCGCATGGAATTCAATGTCAGCCAGACTGTCCAACAGCGAGAGCAGCGGCGTGAGTCATACATACCAAAGGGTATCGTATCCTGCGCGATGTCGTTGTTGGCGCTGCACACTGTGGCAGCGCCGTACTTTCACCGTCAATGGCAGAAGAGAGGAGCAGCTGCTCTTTGCACCTGTTCGCAATGCCGACGGAGATGTCACACCTCGATAAATGCGTGCAATGTTTTGTCACGGTGGTGACAGTGCAAGTGAGATCTGGTCAAAATCATCATCTGGGTTCGCAGCTCCCAGCTGTGCGCTAGCATGAGACTGCAGGAGAGCCAAAGAATACTATCCAGATTATCACGTGACATGATTCTCAAACTCTTGCTGTGGGGTTGAGCCTCGTTTCGTGGCCAAACAATGATTAAGGACAACGCACGTGCATGCATTGAAGAGTAGGGTTCTCTGCGCACCCTATTCAGCTATTACACATTGTTCCCTGCTGCGCTAAGCCCGGATTTGCCTGTCTCCACTGGGTGCTCTACCCGCAGGCAACTGGCGCTGCAGCAGTGAGTGTGACCATGGCTCACGGGCCTCTGAAAAAGTAGGCGCATGGGCGCGCTACTTGATCTGCGCAGCACTATGCCCTCTTTTCCCTTCTCTCGTTGGTTGTGAGCGAACTCGGAGGCTCCGAGGCGAAAACCTTATTACGTATGTATGGGTATTACGCTGGGGATCCATCCCAGCAGTTGCGACTTTCTCTCATACCGATGGGGTGTTATACATTTCTGTGGTAGAAGGGAGCAATCCCAAAACATCCAGCCACAACTGCATCCATCCTGTTTCTGTACAGGGACTCCTCCGCAACCATGCACCGGTGTACGCTTCCTACTCAGATGGGCTCGGGCTGCGCTTGAGAAGCATCTTCCGCGGGGCAAACATTGGGGGCGATCCGACTCCTTCTGCTCGCACAAGTCCTGTTCTTGGCAGCGTTCGAGCTCACAACTTACACTGTCCCAGATCAGGCTTCGCCCCCAGGAGCAAAACAAGTAGAGAGCGTCGCCAACAGTAATACCGGATCCTACAGCTTCCCAAGAAGGGCTCCATCGACTGCCGCCCACTGATTCCGACAACTTTCTTGGTCGACGCCAGTTTGCTCGTCTCGATCCCCGCTTTTTGACGTGGCTGCTCCATCTATGCTTGGAAATCTTGAGTACGTGTAACCCAAGAATGGAGGCAATACATGTTCCCATCCTACTTCGATGCCAATGCTTACTCTTTCTCACAATTATGTCTACCACCCTCAACACATAGGATACAACTGAACGCAAGTCTTGCTTGATCTTATATCGACCCGAGCACGCCAAATTTTGAGGCGAGTCGACGCATCTGGGCGAGAACGGTGTCCACACGCACCGGTCCCGAGCTTACATGCTATTCCATCTCTCATTTGCAGGTAACCACCTACGTGTTCTATGCTCCTTTCACAGACGAGTACACCAGTACATCGCTTTCGTGGACCAGGCGACATATGCCAGCATCGATCATGCAAGCGCCTTGCAGACACCAACGTTTATGCATCCACAGATACAAGTCGTCTCCCTAGCTTCGTCTCAGAAGACACCCCCACCCACGCCCGCTAAGTCAATTTACGCAAGCTGTTCGAGTTCCACCGGCGAGCAGCAGCTGGATGAGAGAAGTTGATCGCAACAGGCATCCGCGGCATCCCTCAAGGCTTTCCTCCTCTTCCTGCTCAGTTGTTGAGTTTCTTCAACGTTGAATTCACCGAGACCTGGCCACTTGTGGGCCTAGCAAGCATGACTTCCCTATCCTCGATGCCGTCCGCGCCGCACGAGTACTATCCTGCGTCCGCAAGCAAACGCGCTGCCGTTGCTACTCACTTTGACGGCGCTAGCCCTCGCAATGGCCATGGCAGGTACGCGAGTGCAAGCTCCGCTATACCTAGTGTTAACAGCAGCAGTAGCAACCCACGCGGTTCAAGTGGCGAGAGAGATGACTTGGATTATCGTTCAGATAGCGCTTCATCCCTGACTTCAAAGGCGACGCCGGGTAAAGGGAACGCGGGAATGTTCAAGAAACACCACCCCAAGCTGGGCCCGTTACCCCTACACACTCCTTTCGGGCACGGCGATGGCTCTACCGGAAGCAGAGACTCTGGCCTCGGAATCGATCTCAGCGCGTCTTCGCCATCCACCCCGATTGCGGGTTGGATCCCGCCTGCGCCGCACTCAGCTTCATCACGCTTGACGGAAATGTGCGGCGAAAAGCACTATCAACTTCGTCAGCAGGCAAAGGACCCATCTGCAGATTCGCAAAGCTCGGAGAACGTGCGGCATCAGCAGCGCCAACAGCAGCAATCTGGAACACTGACACCACCACTCGCGCAGAGCCTTCGCCACGCACCACCAGCTGTGCATCATTCGCGAAGTGCTCCTGCAACCCCTTCCAGCGCGACTGAGACAGTCAAGCTAAAGTCTGTTATAGGAGCCCCTTCGTATCCGCCTTCTACCAAACAGACGCGAAACCGGCGCACGTCCCTCGCGCGCGAACTGAGCAAAGGCAGGAGGCGCAGATTCCAGCACGACACTTCTAGCAAGTCGCGACCAGGCAGTGCGCAGGGGAGCAACAATGGGTCCGAGTCGGCGCAACAGTGTCAACTTGCTGCCGCGGCCGAGGACTATGCGAGCGGGACCCAGGACCCGTGGGCTTCTGGGGATGAAGCATCCGGTGAGGCCGCGTGGTGCAATAATGCACATCGATCTGGGAGTGCCGCTGGTAGCCATCACCTTCCCTCTTCGCTCAACCTTGACACAAATCTCGGGAGTGGGAGCTCAGGAGGCGCCGCCCCGTCCTTTGGACTTCGTTTACCGACGCCCGCGCCAAAGCACAGCTCTAGCACTCAGCACAATACAGTGCAAGCTACAGGCGGGCGCATGAGCTGCAGTGGTACGGCAAGGAGCCAACGCGACCCTTTGCTCGATTCGCTCACCAGCGCGACAGCATCTTCCGTATCGTACGTCCACGAACCAGAATTCACAGCGGAGGAAAAGGGTAAGGCGCGCATCCCGCCAAATCCTATCAGCCCGCGCTCGAGCGTTCTGCCAGAAGAGCCCAGTGCTAAGCTGCCTTCGCCGACTTATGCTCAACCAAGCCAATCCTCGTACGCTTTTTCAGTTGACTCCGACGGCAGCCACCGGCTGCAAAAGCTCGAAAATGCTGTCGACAAGCCTACCCTCGCGCTTGTACAGGCACCGGCCACCGAATGTCAGACGACAGCCGACCTTTACCGTTCCCAGCCTCCGCATACACCGAAAGAGAGAGTCATCCCAATGAGCGTCCATCCCGGCAGTCCTGCCATGCGTCGCCTACCCGCCGCCTCATCCATCGACGAGCGCGAAGGTAAACTTCGGCCGCAAGGAGGGAGGCCCATGCCTGACCCAGGCTCGCACCAGCACGGGCTTCAGCTCACTAGGATGCAAATGAGCGCTACCCCATACTCGAGCGGAAGTCCCGGTGAGGGCATCGAAGAGTTCAACTTGCTCGACCATCCATCGAATGCACACGCCGAGGCCGAATGCCCTCCCAGCAGCGGCGCTGGACGCCTGAACGCGAGCTCGAATACACCGAAGCGAAAAGGCAGCATCAATGCCGAAGCCCTTGCAGCGCTCGGGACCGCTCACAGGCCACGGGAGCAGGGGTTCGACGCTTACCCCAGACACTTAACTGATGACGTGCAGCCCTCTGCGAACGCGCGAGCTGAAAGTATCCAGACGTCGGTGGAGAGAAGTACTGCTGGCGGCGCCAGTGCCCCCATCTTCCGCACCGTTCGCAAAGGCGATGGAAAAAGTTCTGAGCCGCCCGCGCCGTCCACATCGACGGAAGCAAAAAAGGAGGGCCAAAGGCATCATAGTCGTACCAGCTCGATCGGCAGCTTAGGTCGTCTCTTTGGCGTCGGCAAAAAGAAGCGCTCCGATTCACACCCAGTCAGCCAATCTCCCAAGACCCTCTCGCCTGCGCAGGGATTGAGACAGCTATGTGACTTGGCCGGAGATTCGCAACCTCTTATCACTGAAGATGCCACGTGGCCCCATGCTTCTGCTGGAGCTGTCCAAGCGCAGGTACCAGCAATTTCCCGGGAGCAACTGCCGAAATTGGACGCTCCGGCTGCCAGGCCGGCTCAGTCCTTATCACACCTGGTGTTTCCGTCGACCAAGGGCGTGAGTTTTTGTTTTCTGTTTACATGAGACATGAACAGGACTATCGGCTGACTCTGTAGACGCCTTCCTACAGCTGGCTACTATGCCAAGTCCCGAGCAAGAGATCCTTGCGGAAAGTGCCCAGGTGCCACCAGCTCGTGGCCTGATGAAACGGCGAAGGCAAGACTCGAGCCTAAATTTGAGTACGCGACTCAGCTCGATCTTCTATGTCGGCAGCAAGGTACAGAGTCCAACTAGCCTTGTTGCTCCTTATTCAGCGGAGTCTATCGATCGAGTGGATCATCAGGTTCGAGCAGAATCAGGAAGCGCAACAGTCAAGCGCTCCATCTCCAGTCGCGTTCGTGCTCTGTCCTCCGAACTGCTAGGCAAAGGCCACACGCGGCACGCTTCCACCGCACTCGACATGCGGCCACCGCTGAGAGAGGCCGCAAATGCTCCGACGGTGCCGATCAAGTCTCCACCTTCGTCATCGAGGTTTGCGCGTGATCCTAGCATCGATGAATACCGCAGCGAGCAGGGTCACAATGTCTTTTCCACCTGTGTCTGGGAAGGCCGCAACAATATGGAGCTTGAGAGCACTTTGCGGCGTACGCGGTCGGCCGGTGCCATGCATGCGCGCTGGGCAGCTGCGAGGCGTTCGATTGGAGGCTCTTCGCGTCAACAAACTACCTCGACAATGTCCCCTGATCACCCCCAGCCTCCGACGCCCCCTAGCAAAGTGTCAATCAGGAGAACGCTGGCTTCGAAGATCCCGCCGGTTCCACCTGCGCCTAGCACGCCCGAGATCGAGAGTTGGCGAGTCTATCCGAGGGGTGTTAGCCGATTAGACGAGATTGAGAATAGGCCGGAAGAAGGTGCAATTCCATCGCCTCAGCTAGACACACGCTCTAAATCATCCCATTCTTCTCCAGCAGCGGTGCCGCGCTCACCGTTTGCTTTCGACGATTCCTCAGAGACGTGTGATAAGTACCGCTCTCCTGCAGCAGGAAGCAGCCAGATCTCTCTGCACTCGCCCGAGCAACCTCTACCTGTGTCACTCACTTTGCCAGACACGCCTTTGTTTGACAGACTCAGTGCACGTCGCATGTTGCGCGACGCCGGACTGGCGAGCCGCTCCAGTTCGTCCGAAACGGAAACGTCGAAGAAGAGCTCCACGGCTCCTTCCTCTCCGAACAGGTGCACTTCGTTTGGCTTAGGCCTGATGCCTGGCTCGCCTGCTATCACCTCGGCAACATGGGACGGACCCCTAGTCACGATCACTAGTCTCACGAGTGGAATGGCACCATTTGCACATTCTCCGTCTGCTCACGCGGCTCAAAGCCCCCCCTCGTCAGCCAATACCGCTGTCAACCCGAGCTTTGAGGTGGTGCATGGCGGCAAGTGCATCGCAACACTGGACAGGGCCCCAGAAGAATCAAAGGGCGCCGAGCAAAGAGGCTCGTTCATCAGCTCCGGCGACGACGATACGCCACTGCTAGGCTACAGTAAACTTGTCGTCAATACCGCAGATGAGCGCGACGAAGAAGAGGAGACGAGGTTCTTTTTCCGTAGCCCAAATGCCAGTCAACAAGCCAGGCGAGGCCAGCTGGAAGGGATGGCAGCCTCCAATCCGTTGGCAGGGCGGTACCGATCCAACTCACCGACGTCGATAGAGGCGCATCGTGCTGAAAGCAGTTTAAGCCATCCAAGCCGTGTGTCCACTCAGCAACCAGCTGGTAACAGCAGTGAAAGCCCTTCGTACAGCACTTTGCTGCAAGAACCACACGTTGGCTCGACTGAGGATGCGGTCAACCCTCATGCGCAGCTTCCCAAGCACTCCACGGTGCGAACGTCAGTGATCACGGTGAACAGCTTCCGAAGCCTGAACACTCCTCTTAGCGATGGAGGGACATGGGCGACGGGAAACGATGCACTGTCCGCCTTGGACGCTGAGGTGTCGCAGGCTCGACGCGTCAAGGTCGACCATGTGGATAAAGGCGCTATCAAGCAGTGGGCGAGCTCCGCGGCGATGTCTCAAGTCAAACTGTCTGCGTTTCTGGACCCACAGCACCAGCAACAACAACAACAGCAACGGAAAACGACTCATGCGCCATCAACGGACCACTTCCAGCTGCCTATCAGTCTAGCTGCCAAGCTGCAGCCGTTCCCTGACGTGCTCACCGTCATGCGGCAGAGAACAAGAGTCGTTTCGGATCCAGCGCGCCCGGAGCTGGTCGATCTTGGGAAGATCGCGGCAAAGCGTCAGCGACGCTCCGTTAGCCAGCCAATAATCTCCAACAGCAGCGCTAGCGGCGGCGCGAGGCTGAATGTGCATAAGGGTCCGGATGCGGGTGCGCGCACCAGCGCTTATCTGGCGCATTGCAAGGCGCGGAGCAAGGGAAGTGTGGCGCCCAGAGGCAACCAGACGAGAGATCGGCGGCCTGTCTCTCAAATTGCGCAGGGGATGGCAACGGGCAGCTGGCTGGAAAAGCCGCTCAGCAGTCTGCATGAGGGCTTGTCAACTGCAGCACAGACCCTGGAAGTGGGTGACGGCGGCGGAGCGCCTCTCAGCGCTACGGTGCGCTCTGTTCGCAGTCACACGCAAGGAAACCAGAGCGCTGACGGACGCAGACACGGACATCATCCGCGACATGAGGCGACGACGCAGCGCTATCGCACGCTGGAGCAGCGGCCACTGCCGTTCCGGACCGCGGACGAGGCGGTGCGCGCGTTGCAGCGCGAGGAGCAGGAGCGCGAATGGCAGGAGCAGGAGCGCGAGCGGCGGCGGCAAGAGGCGCACGCAGAGCGACATGCGGCGAAGAAAAAGCGCGACCCGCTGCTTGCTGCGAGGCTTGCGCTCGTCGGGCTCGAGTCACCCGCAGCATCGTCGGCGATACTGGGCAGCGCCCCGGTCAGCGCGGTGCACTCACAGTTTGCGCAGGTACTGACGCCGACTGCGACAGCGACGCCGCCGTCGAGTGCCGGTGTGGCAGGCTTGGCGCACGGGTCGCTAACCCTGCCGGCGAGCACGGACCGCCAGGGCTTCCTGACTCCGTCCGGGGTGGGGGAGACGGCGGGTAACGCGGGCGATGGCAGGCGGTACGAGTCACTCATCTTTGGCGGATCGTACTACTCTGCCAGTGCGTTTGCCACGCCGGAGAGCGAGCCCGTGGCGCTGCCTCGGGCGGACGATGCGGGCGCCGCAGCGTCCCGACTCCCCGAGAGCCCGAAAGCTGGCACAGGCACGTTCAGATATGGGCCGTCGAATATGCATGTGCACGCCAACGCGGGCAGCACAGCCGTGACGGAGGGCAGCATCATGGGCTTCGGCATGGCCCTCAGCAGCAGTGGCGACGTCGCGACGGACAAGGACGGAGCGGGTGGCTTTGGCGGCCCTTCGACGCGCGCTTCGCCGCTCCTTACTAACATACCTGGTGCGTTCTTTCAACGGGAGCAGCAGCAGTCGCTCAGGCTGCTTGTTGCGCGCCCACTGCCGCCACCGATGACGAAGACGGCAGCAGCAGCAATGCCCGCACGAGCAGCGTTGGGCCGCTCGTCAGAGAACGGGAGCCCCAGCAGCGCGGACACGACTCCGTCGAGCGCGGCAGGAGGCGGCGAGTGGCCCGTCCCACCCGGCCGGGCACTTCGGCCGCAGGTGCAGCTGAGCCAGGACGGGACGGTGCTGGCGCGCGCGCGGATGGCGAGCCGCGACGGGACCGGATTCGACGAGGGTGGATGCGGAGACGAAGAGCTGGACGGTGGAGGCGACGGCGCCTATGGTGCGGGCGTGCGGCGCCGGGACAGCTGGACCGACGGCGTGCCGAGCGCTGCGGCGCTGATGATGTTGCAGCGCGCGCGGGGCGCGGAGCAGCAGAATGCGTCGTCCTCTACCACCACCAGCGGCTCCAGTCTGTCACCCTGTCACGCACGGACTTTTCCCAGCAGCAGTGTCGTGACGCTCGTGCGCCGGCAGACGCAGCAGGGCGATAGTGGCGAGAAGCACCGATCGATGCGAGCAAGCCTGGTCGGCGACGACTACCACGCCACATTCCCCCACCATGATGCAGAGGCGCCGTGATTGGATGGCAGATGGGCGAGCCGGGCGTGTATGTACGTATAGATGTTCCGTCCATCTGTGCAGGCCGGACGTGCTTGCGCGATGCCCTTGAGCATTACACTGCCATCAACATGGGCATCCGCACCAGCGAGCGACGACGCATGAGCGCGCCACACACCCCCACGGTTAATGGTGGAGAAAGGGACTCCCCATGTTCTGCCGCCCCTTTCTCCTTGGGGTTATATATACCTCTTACCTAGACACCCATCGGGCACAAACTATGTAGTCGGTCTCCTCGGCCTTGAATCGATTCTATTCTGTTTGATGACATTCCATGCTCTCCACTTTTACTATGGATCACTCGCTCTAGTGAGTTCTGGCAGGCAGCCCCTGGCTCCTTCCCGCTTCATCTCCCCCATCTCATCGCCTCCAAGCCAGGGCAAAGAAAGAGGAGCGAGAGCGTAGCGTAGCGTGTGGCTCGACTGTTTCGTACGCTTTCACGAAGCGCGAAACGATGGAGAGAGTGGGACACGCGGATTGTGATTGTGTCGACAGTTGGCTTCTGCTGGTGGCACACCTCGCTAGTTACATGCTATATATAGCATGAGGAAATACACGTGCATCTTTCCTTTAACCCCATCGCCC